TGTGTTTTGGTTCTGTTTGTGCGCGACAGTCGTCCGCGAGGGGCTGTCGCGCTATTTTGTGTTTATTCAGTTTTCTTTGAATGTTCGCCGGTTCCCGCCTCCTTCTTCCCAAACTACTAACTTTGTTACAGTAGGTTTAAAATTCTACAAAAGGCACATTTAATGTCCAACAACGAATATTTTAGCAAAATGCATATTTGACTCAGAATTATTGTGCTCCATCTGTTTAGCGTGCATGTGCGCAGCAGCGCTCGTTCACTCGCGTATGCCTCGCCCACTCCTGGCAGCAGGCAAAATGGATATATTTGCATGTCTTTCTAACATTTACAGAGGAAAAATATACTCGTGGCATGTCAGTTATGCACTGAGGAAAACACAACGTCTCAAATATTTGCTGTTTGTCATAGTGGATCGATTTGATCCATGAACGACATTAAGGGCTGCTTAAGATTAAGCGTCTACAAATTAGTTAGATTGTGTGAACTTACATTGTCGTTTATGGAACTGCTTTCGATGCACACTTTTTAAACCGATGCATCGCATCGTTAACTTTTTTAGCCGATGCACCCAGAGAATCGGTGAATCTTCCCATCCCTACTACACAGACTTTCACGACATTTCTGTCACACGCTTGAGGAATTCGGCCAATCACAACGCACTGGATAGCTGGCCAATCAGAGCACACCTCGCTTTTCAGACTGATGAGCTTTGTAAAAATCGATGCATTTCAGAAAGGCGGGAGAAACAATAATGTACAGTATGTGGAAAATAATGTGTTTTTTGAACCTTAAAACGCATAAACACATTTCATTACACCAAATACACAAAATAATGTTCTTTTTATCAACATCATATGACCCCTTTAATTCTCAAATCAGACGTATGGACAACTGATGACTCAGCAAACAGATTCATTACACATTTACTTTCAAGAAGAGATCTCCATCTAAATTGTAATTACAGTCAAATAAGTCACATGAATAGCCTGCAACAACATATGAACTATTTTGGCAGATAAATCTTTATTGGAAAGTAAGAACCATTATACAGTAACAACATTTCTAGCAGGTTTATAAATACTTATATACCTAATAATAATAAATACATATAAATGCTCTGTAACTATACCTACAGTGGCTTACAAAAGTCTGAGTCCACTTGTGAAAATGCTTCTTTTATAATATAGTGCATTTATATATTAAAAATTATATTATCAATATAACAATTTGAGTGAAAAGCTGAATGGAAAAAATGAATTTATGTCTCAGTTTTTGGTGTGTCATGATGATCATGTTCTCCAGCCTGATTTGAGAAATATGGCTTCTTTATTTTACATCATAATGTTGTTTTCTGTTTTATATTCTTAAGAATTAAAAAAAAAATGTATACAGTTTTCCAATTTCCAGTGGGGTCTCAAACGTTTGGAGCCCATTGTATATCGAGTGCATCTGTGGACGCAGTTCTGAACATGTGCTACATATATTGAATAATTGTGCACATATGAGAATAATTTTGAGAAAATCATTGAAAGGCCTCCAGTAATTGGTTGAGAGAAACATCTGTTGGTCATATTTCTATAAACAGGCTCCTCTACGATTGCTACAGAGTTCCCATGATGTCTCCTGCACGAAAAAGATGGAGAGAATCATACAGAAATAATTCATGATTAAATTACAGCACAACCAAAGAATAAGAAGCAAGGCAACTCAAGTGAAAGACTATACTGTAGATGTAAAGAATTTATAAGGAAGAATAAAAGAGGAAAAACAACACATGTATCAAGGTGGGTTATGGAATAGGATCAAACTTGTGGCTAATAAATTCTCCACGTCAGAGGGCTCATTGTTCCAGGAACACGCACATATATGTTTTTATGACATGGTATATTTAGCACAAACTTGTTTTGTGTATGTCTTTGTATAATATGTGCTCACCTGAGGTGTTTTTAACTTTTTTGGGGGCTAATTTTTATGAAAATTCCATTCAACTACCATTCAAAAGTGTGGGGTTGGTATTTATTCGATTAAAAATACAGAAAAAAATTATAATAAGAAAAAATTTATATATTTTAAAATGTAATTTATTCCTGTGACGCAAAGCTGAATTTTATTATTATTATTATTATTATTATTATTATTTATTATTCATATCATTCTAATATGCTGATTTGCTGCTCAAGAAACATTTCGTATTATTATCAGTTGAAAACAGTTGCTTAATATTTTTGTGGAAACTGATGCATTTTTTTCAGGATTCCCCCCAGGGTAAACAGAACAGAACCAACATAAATGTATTGCAGATATCGTTAAAGTTCAATAATGTTATGTACACATTTTAGAATTAGTCTGATTCAAGGAGAATCAGAAGGCTGAATCCTGACTGACAGAGGAGGAGCTGGGGATGGAGGAGGGTAATTAGCTATTGAGCAATGCGAAAACTGCTGATAATACTGAGGGACCTTATATATGAATGCTTAGATAGGTGTGGTATTCCCATAGGTTGATGGGGATCAGCTGAGAGTCAGCTGATGTGAGCTTGACTAACGTGACCTGCCAGAACTAACGCTACGCTAGATTTGCATTAAGAGTATTAGGTATCAGTTTCCATAAATCTTTGATGTGTGTCAGAAACTGCCATAAAGGTTTCATCTCCTTGATACTAACAAAACTTCAGATGTGATTCATGCAAATTCTTTTATGAATACTTTTATGAATAAAAACATACTTTATATTATTTGTGATCGATAACAGTGATTTTGAATTCAGTAAAAATGAACAATGAACATTGTACTTTTGAATGGGTGATCGAACACAATAGGACTAATTTACCCGTGAACTTATATATAATAGTCTGTATTGTGCAATTATGTTCATGGTCTTTAAGGGTGATGGCATGCCACACAACTCGCCCAAACTGCCATCTGCTATGTATAATTATACAGTGGGTACGGAAAGTATTCAGACCCCCTTAAATTAGGAAAAAAAATTAACTTAAATGATTTTAGCAAATGGCTGCAATATAACAAAGAGTGAAAAATTTAAGGGGGTCTAAATACTTTCCGTACCCACTGTATATGCATAATTTGGTGCATACCATTAATATATAAATAAATAACTGATTCCTTTTTTTATAAAAAAAATGTCAGCATCATAACACCAGTCTTCAGTGTCACATTCTTCAGAACTCATTCTAATATGCTGATTTGCTGCTCAAGAAACATCTCTTGCATTATTATTTGTTTTTTTTAGATGAACAGAAATGTTACGTAACATTATGAATGTATTTATTGTCATTTTTAACAATTGAAAGCATCCTTGCGGAATTTAAAAAAAAAAACCTAGAAAAATCTTACTGACCCCAAAGTTCTTAAGGTAGTGTTATATATTCTTTTATATTTCAATGAAGAGGAAGAATTATATGAGAAAATAAAAATGCCATTTTCTGCTTATTAACAGTCACTGAATTTTTCTCATGATACTTCTTACAACTCTATCTGAACACCTGCATAATTCTGTGCCCAAATATAAAATATTCTAAATAAATGGTATGTAGCTCTCTGTTTGCATGTTACTTTAATATCTTAGTAGTAATTTATTTTTTCTTAAAATTTTGAATTAGATTTTATTTTGATATGTTTTGTTTTCATTTTAATTTTAGTTTTCATAATAATTTTGTGTGTTGTGATAAATATATCTATAAAGTTTTGAAGTTTTAGTATTTAGTCTGTTAATTATTTTTAGTTATTTTGTACTGTAACTTTAAACAGAAATGAGAAATACTGCCTTGGAAACTAGCTGAAATATTTTATAATTAATGCAAATATATATATATTTATATTTTATATTTATATAAAATATAAATATATTATAATATATTAACATATTTTTATACTTTATAATATTTTATAATATTTATATTTATATACATATATATATATATATATATATATACAGTGGGTACGGAAAGTATTCAGACCCCCTT